GTTGTAGATAAAAGTTTTTCTTGAAAAGATTTGGCTACTTATGTAGTGAATCTTATATAGTTTTATATGTTCATCCCTACCTTGTTTCTGCACTTTTTGGTATTACTGTCCCTACATCATACTGAATTTTTGCAAAAATGTTAATTACTTGTTTCCATTCTTTTTAAAAAAAATAAATTCATTGAATTATGCTGATAAGTGAACATTTGTTTTGTTTTTATAGTTTAATTGTAATATATATTGTAGATATCATATCGTTGTTTTTGTCAGTTTCTTCATTGCACTTGTAGAATAACCTCAGTTACTGATAGTACACCATATGGTTGGTTACAATAGAATATTAACCATCACTGGTCATAATATTGACTTCGTGGGACTTAATGTTCAGGAACCTGCAGTAAAGAAAGAAAATATGAAAAATGTATAACTGTATCATCCCCATGTTAATGTTTACATTATTTTTGGTACTTCCATCCCTACACCGTTTTACATTTACAAAATGTATTTATTACTTATCTTGTGACGTTTTTTCTCCTGACTGAAAGTCAGTGTATTCTATGAATGTGTATAATAAAATCTAATTTTTTTACTCCTTCACTTCATACATAATTTAGGAGATGGCTCCCTAAAGACACCGATTGTACAGTGTACAAACATAAAGTATTCTACATGTTACAGTCATCTAATGTTCGTCTATTATTGGCTGGTAGTTACTGTATCACCCTGTACTTAAGCTTTTTAAAAAAACACCAAATTTCTGTAAGAAAGCTAAGCCCCCCCCCCCCCAGTGGCACAGCGTTATGTCTGCGGACTTACAACGCTAGAATCCGGGTTTCGATACCCGTGGTGGGCAGAGCACAGATAGCCCTTTGTGTAGCTTTGTGCTTAATTACAAATAATAAATAATAATAAGAAGAAAGCTAACTTTAAAGAATAATTATAACATCATTTACACTAGAATTATGATTTAATTATGATTTTTTTAGCTTATACTAAACACTACCGTGCTTAGTAATAGCCTGTTCCCAAGTGATCTTAAAATGTTTTTCTATCGTGCTAAAGCCATTGCGAAAACTTCACACATTCGGAAAAGAAAAAAGGAAGATGAACATTTTGGCTCTTTTAGCTAGTTTCCAATTCTCCACTTTAGCAACACTTTCAATGATATTGAGAGTGTCACAAGCTATTAAACACTCGATAATAGTAATAAGATGTTCAAATAAGGCTATAAGTCAACTTTAGCAGTTATTTGTAAGCATCATTGAGTAATATACTGAATGCGGCAGCCATTTTTTTCTCGGCCCATTCCTACATACTAAACATTAACGTGCTTAATGATAATGTGACGAAATCGTGTTTCCTATAACGTTTCACTTAATTATTTTTTATCTGTAGGCTTATCCGTTTTTTGCACTTTTTTATAACGAGCACATACAAAAGCATTACAACAAATTATTTAAATGTGTACAAGTATTTGAGTGATGCACCATATTTTCTGTCTCACAAGGCAAGTATAAGAGCAGAGTCCTTGTTGTAAAAATGGACTAGGCGTAACGTAGGGTTAGCGTAGCAGGCTATAAAGCAAAGACTCCAGGATTTGAACATGCTCTATACTTTCAGGTGTGGGCGCATTATAAAAGTTACAGTTAATGCCGTTATTTTGTTCAAAAAGCTGGAAAACCATCGTCGAGGCGGTGCTACTGGCTAGTTGCCTTCCCTGTAATTCAAAATTAAGAACGATTATACCTGAATCCTCAAGGCT